GTACTTGCAAGTGTCAGGGTCCAGAGGAAGATAAAGGGGCCAGGAGTCCGTATGTGTCATTAAAACATACAAACAAACAAAAAATAGTTTTATTAAGATTATAATTCACATACTATAAAACTCACTGTTTAAAGTGTACAATTCAGTGATTTTTAGTATGTTCAAGGAATTGTGTGACCTTCACCACTGTCTCATTTCAGAATATCTCTATCACTCCTAAAGAAACTGTACCATTAAGCAGTAACTCTCCATTTTCCTCTTCCTGTCCCACCAGACCCTGGAAACCCTTCATTTACTTTCTGTCTCTATAAATCTGCCTATTTAAGACATTCATATACATAGAATGATACAAAGTGTGGCTTTATTCATGTGGCCAATACATGGTCTGACTTATTTCTTGTAGCATAGTGTTTTCAAGGTTTATCCATGTTGTAGCCTAAATCAGCCATTCATTCATTTTTTATTTTTGGAAGTTTACTTTTATTTTGGTAAAATCCATAACATGAAATTTACCATTTTAACCTTTTTGCAGTATGCAATTCAGTGGCACTAAGAACATTCACAATGTAGTACAACCATCACCACTAACTAGTTCTAGAACTTTTCAGCAGCCCAAATGGAAACTTTGCACCCATTAAACAGTCACTTCCCATTCCCTCCTCCACCTAGGCCCCTGTCAAACACACATCTGCTTTATGTCTCTTCATGTGCCTAGTCTGGACATTGTAGATATAAATGCAATTATGTATTTAGATGGCCTGCAGAATATGGCCCTTCGTGTCTGGCTTCTTTCACTAAGCATAATGTGTTTAAAGTTCATCCATATTGTAGCTTGTATCAATATTTCATTTCTTTTATGGCTGAACAATATTCCATTGTATGGATATACCACTTTCTGTTATCCATTCATCAGTGGATGGACATTTGGTTGTTTCCATATTTTGTCTTTTTTGAATAATGCTGTTAGGAACATTTGTGTACAATTTTTTGGCTGGACATAGGTTTTCAGTTCCCTTGGGTATATACTTACTAGTAGAATTGCTGGGTTATATGGTAATTCTACATTTAATATTTTGAAGAACCGACAAACTGTATTTCACAGTAGCTGTGTCCTTTCATGTTCCCACCAGAAGTATATGAGGCTGTAATACTCATCCTCAGCAATACTTGTTACTGTCCATCTTTTCATTATAGCTGTCCTCATAGGTGTGAAGTGTATCTCATTGTGGTTTTGATTTGCATTTCACTAATGACTAATAAAGTTGAGCAGCTTTTCAATGCTTATAGCGATTTGCATACCTTCTTTGAAGAAATGCCTATTCAAATCCTTTGTCCATTTTTTAAGTGGGTTGCTTGTGTCTTTTTATTGTTGAGTTGTAAGAGTTCTTTATATATTTTGGATCTATGTATCACTTTGATCAGTGAGGAAAACCTTTCCCAGAAGCCCCCACAAGCTGTCTCCAACTTATCTTTGGCCAGAATTATGTCTCATGCCCATGGCTAAAGCAGTCACAGGCCAGAGGAATGGAACCATCACGATTGGTTTTGATTCACCCCATGGGATTGGAAATGGGTCCAGCTTCCTCTCAGGCATATCACTGAGCTGAGTAGAGTGAATATTTTACAAAAGGGGGGCTCTGTTGGGAAGAAGAGAGTGGTTTGGTGTAGGTAACTACCAGTCAGGGTCCCAAAAGTAAACAGATGGTTGAGGCAAAATAGGATAATTTGAGGGGACTTATTTACAAAGAGACCTGTGGCTTAGTAGCACTAAGCTGTTAACACTCTAGGCTTGAAGGAACAAGGATGGGGAGGGAACCTGGTGTGGCAGACGGAAGATACCAGCTCGGCAACCAGTGCTACTTATCTACCTCAGGCTCCCCTTTCACTGCTGCCTTTTACTGTGTGTGTTTTGGGCCATGGCTTTTCTGCTCTTTACCTGTCACTATTGATAAGTTTGCTTTTTATCTTCTAAAACTTACCTGGTCTACTGAGCTCATCCTTCTGCATTCATATTCTCAGTGCTGTTATGGATTTATTGCTTGGGTGCTTATTTTACTATCATTTCAGTAGGATGGGGAGGGATGGGAGATAAAGAAATGTACTAAATCTGGCATTTTGTACACATACTTAAAAAATATAAGTGAACTCATATGCAATTTTGTAGACTAATTTTTTCATTTAAGATGATAATAAAAGCATTTCTCAGAGTTATGAATACTATTCTTAAACATAATTTTCATCACGTGAGTATACCATAACTTACTTTAACAACTCTTACAAAATTAACTCCACTCAACAAACCCCTCCCTCACTGTTTTGGGTTATTTTAAGTTTTTAAATTCTTTACTATTAAGAATGAGACTCCAATTAACTTTCTTGTGCATAAATATTTGCCTGATATTCAGATTATTTCCTCAGAATACACTCCTAGAAGTAGAATTACTATATCAAAGTACATGAGCAGTTTAGGACTTTGAAAGATAATGGAAACTTCTTATATTCTAGGAAGGTTTTGCCAACTTAGATTCTCACCAGAAGTGAGGTAATTTGCATGTCTCTGTAGCCTTGTCAGCACTGAGTATAATATTTCCATCTTTGTTAATTTTATGTGCAAAAATGACATCTCATTTACTTTCATTTCTATGAGTATTAATGCAATTGATTTTTAAGAATATTTATTCATTTGTGAATTGTCTGTTCATATCACTAGTTCATTTTTCAAAATGCAACCGTGAGTGTCTTTAACTTTTTATCTTTTGAATAGATAATTCTCAGAGAGTTACAAAATTCAAAAGGTACAAACAGGTGCACAATACTCCAGTCAGTCATTCCCGTCTTGTTTGGCAGCCACTGATACCAGTTCCTTGCATATCCTTTTGGAGGTAACTCGTGCTTTTACAAACACCTATATGTGTATATTTTTTCACACAAATGTTAATGTGTGAAACACATTTCGGTGTTTTGGAGATCCTTCCATTCTAGCACATAAAGATCTACTTTTTTCATTTTGATGACTACTTGAGATGCTGTTATTTAGGTGTACCATAATTTAAATGCCCTATATGATAAAACTTAGGTGGTTTCTAATTTTCTGCCATCATAAGCAATTCTGCAATAACTAACTTTGTACATAAGAGTGAGTCTATAGGATAAATGAATAGAAATGAAATAACTGAGTTAAAGGTTTATAGATATACAAATTGCCCTCAAGAGGTTTTTCCAGTCTCACCAACTTTTGTTATCAAACATTTTGATGTTTGCTAATCAGTTAGGTAAAACTGGTATGTCATATTTCCAAATTGTACCCATCATTAGTGAGGTTAAGCATATTTTCATATTAAAAAGTCTTTTGTCTGTTTTTTTTCTTTAAATTATCCATTCATATCTGTTCATATTTTTACATCGTGTTGATAAGGATTTTTTTAAAAAATTGTTTTGTAGAAGTTTCGTATAAAGTATATTGGTTCCTTTTTATATAAATTGCTCAGGGTATTTCTAATCAATTGTATGAGTTTAATGTATGTAAGCCTGTGGCAAGGCTGCCTCATTTCCTTGGCCTGGGAGTGGTCTGCTGGTTTGTATTCTCTCTACCTAGTCATCCTCAAGAGTGCATGCTTTAGCTCCAGCTTGATCTGCTTTACCTCCTAATCTACCTAACAGCAAACATAACTTACCACTTCAAAAGTTATTATTTTTTTCTCAAAACCTCATGGTTTCTTTTGAGGACAGAACAATATAGTGTATTATATACATGAGAAAAATACATCCCGTTATTAATATGTCTTTGATTCTACTGTTTGCTAAATTATAGCACTGGCCCCATTAGTTAAAGTTGCATTTATCTCCTTCTGTGGCTATTTTTCATTACAAAGGGCCCAATATCTCTGCCTGAGCCATTCTGGAAGAATGAGACTTATGAGAATGAGTACAGGCAGGTGAATGGCAGTAGAAAGGGATGAGAGTAGAGGAGATGGTGCTAGACAAAATCTTCGTTTTGGTGTCTAAGATACTGGTGCACCTCCTCAATGGAGGCAGTAATTTTCCCTCCTGATGGATGGGGGTGGGCCTGTAGAATAGTACAATGTGTATCGTGTCTTATAAATTCATAGAACAAGTACTAATTGGCTTGGAGTCATCATGGGGTACAATTGTTTGCAATGTTAACTTCAAAGGTTATGTTGAATCAGGGCTAGCATCAATAGCCAAAGAAAAAGAATAGTGCCATCCAGCTGGGGTGGAGATTCACTTTTTAAATTTTCTATTGCTGTGTAACAAATTACTACAAAACTTAACAGCTTAAAAATAAACATTTTTTTTTAAATCTTCCAGTTTCTGTGGCTTAGGAATTTGAGAGAAGCTTACCTGGACTCTGCTTCAGGATCTCTCATGAGGTTGCAGTTAATATGTACTTGCTGGGACTACAGTCATCTGCAGGCTTGACTGGGGCTAGATAGATCTGCTTCTAAGATGACTCACTCATGTGGCTGTTGGCAGGAGGTCTAAGCTCCTTACCATGTGGACCTCTTCCTAGAGCTATTTGAGTATCCTTATGACAGAGCTGGTAGCTTTCCCCAGAGGGAGTGATCCAAGAAAGAGAACAAGGAGAAAGAAGCCACATTGCTTTTTATAACCTAATCTTGGAAATCACACATTGTTATTTCTGCCATTTTCCATTTATTGATTTCAGCTCCGTAAGTCCAGACCACACTCATGGGAAGGGGAAGTAAGCTCTATTTTTTGAAAGGAGGAGTATCAAAAATTTGTGGACAAATTTTGTAACTGTCACATTCAGGATTCTTCAAAAATGCTTATCATGGCATACTTTGAACTTTATTCCATTACTTGAACTATAAGTATTTATTCATTCCAGAAATATTTCTTGTATTATCTGAATCACTCTATACCACTTTTTATCATCTGCCACTAACAGGAAACCATTCTGTCCTAAGAGCCTTATCAAGAATGATATTCTCCTAACAGTGCTCTTTTTCCCCTCTCAGGTCCTCGTTGGGTTTCTTCTTATTCTAGCAGCCATAGAGCTGGCCCTCGTACTCACAGAAGACTCTGGACAAGCCACGGTCCCTGCTATTAGATATACCAACCCAAGCCTCTACCTAGGCACATGGGTAAGGCCCATCACTACTTTGCCCAGTTTATTTTCTCTCTACCCATAGATATCTAGCTGAAATTACTCCTTGGGGATGAAATTAAGTTCAATTTTATCTGTCTTTTGCAAGGGACCTAGAATAAGACAAAGCTTGTTTGTAATGGGGTATAACACATTTCAACTTTTTATCTTCTTTTGAACACTAATATAGAGCCTTCCTCAGTATCCACCAGGGATTGGTTCCAGGACCTCCTGTGAATAGTAAAATCCCTGATGCTCAAGTCCCTGATATAAAATGGTGCAGTATTTGCATATAACCTGTGCACATCCTCCTGTATATTTTAAATCATCTCTAGATTACATATAATACCTAGTAAAATGTAAATGCTATGCAAGTAGTTCTTATACTATATTGTCCAGGGAATAATGATGAGAAAAAAGTCTGTACATGTTCAGTTCAAATGGAATTTTTCAAAAGTATTTTCAATCCCCAGTTGGTTGAATTCATGGATTTGGAACACATGGATATGGAGGGCCGACTATATTAGCTTTAATGACTAAGTGCATGACTTATCCCCTTATGTCTTGCCATCTAAGGATCACAGATGGAGATCTAAGTTACTGATGAAAAATCATTTTTTAAGAGCTGTAAATAACATTTTTTATTGATTGATGACTCTGATCAATGGATCACTGAGTCTAGAGTTGTTTGTATAAATTTGATATCAAAAACTAATGTCTTGGGCTGGCTGGTTACCTCAGTTGGTTAAAGCATGATGTTGATAATGCCAAGGTCAAGGGTTCCCATCCCTGTACAGACCAGGTGCCAAAGAAAAAATATGTTGAAAAATAAAGAAAACAACTGAATTAGTTCTCATCATTATAAAAGAGGAAGATAACGTATATTTATTTGGATTTCCAAACTTTCTGGAAAAATCAGAATGTCTGGCAACCATGGACCTACATTCCTACAGGGCAGTGATCAGCTAGGACTGAGTAGCGGTTGTCCCCTTTAGACCATGTGCTCAGCACAGCCCACTATCCCCTTGCCCTGTCTTCACTCAGTAACATCTGCTGGCAACTGTAGTCATTTCTGTTTGCTACCACCATTATAGAACAAGCAAAAAAGGGTCTAGGTACTGGTGTATTGGAGCTGGCTCACACAGACCTGATTATGTATATCTCTTCCCAACCCTGCATTTAGTGACATCATGTTGGAGTTTGAAACACACCATGGTGAGAATACTTACACCATGAAAATTGGCAAATGCTACAAATCATGGTGCTTTTTTTTTTTTTTTTTTTACCAGAATGCTGATTTGCTAGCACAGTACTAGGTCTTAGGAACCAACATTTAATTTATTATATCAAAGTGAGATGATGCAAGGCAAGGTTTGTTTTTTAATTAATTGCTTGGTCTGATATTAGAAAATCGAGATACAGACACCTTGCATCTATTCATCAGAATCTGCTTCCCTGACCTGACTACTTGTAGTGCCAAAGTAACTCCACTAACATGCAGAAAGTGACCTTCTGCTTTCTTAGCTAACTTCCCCCCAGAGTGTGGTGAATAGAGATGAGGCCCTGGAAAAGACAGTTGGATGGTGTCATGGAGGAAATGTACAGTTTGGCATTTGTGGGCTCTGCCCGGCCAGATTAGTTACAACAATCTCCTCCTTCCACTCTCCTCTCTTCCCATGTTCTCTGACGTCTTTCTCACCTCCTGTCCTTGGTTAGTGACAATATTCTTCAGAACTTTATGTGAATTTCTCTCTAGCTCCTGGTTTTGCTGATCCAACACAGCAGGCGATGGTGTGTACAGAAAAACTCTTGGTTCCTGTCCATATTCTGGATACTTTCAATACTCTGTGGGACTTTCCAGTTTCAGACTCTAATCCGGACACTCCTACAGGTAAAGAGAAAAGAGAGTGTGACATGAGGAGGTAGTGCTGGGCAGCTTCTAAGTCAGAGTAAATGGCATCAAATATGTTGAGCTCCAGGATAGAATTGTATAGGGGGGATTTGACACTAGGCTTTAATCATAAGCATTGATACAAATGGGTTATTTAGACTGAGGCTGGATAAAAGTTCATTTTCTGTTTGTTTTTTTCCCAATAGGGCAGCAATTCCAATCTCGCTTACTCCTGCCTGTTCTTCATCTCCTATGGACTCCAGATACTGATCTTGATCCTTTCAGCATTGTCAGAAAAAAATGACTCATCAAACGTAAGACTCTAAATGTGCCCATCTCATGTATTACTTAATTGGATAATATCTTCACAAATATAACTTAGAGATGTTTATGTCTTGCGGAGGTCTCTCAAGTCTGGAATAAGGTAGTACAGACCATTTTATGACACAAGAAAACAGACGGTGATGAGAGTATTGAAATATTGACTTTAACTTTCATCCACAAATGTTTAACATGGGCAATTAGTCCATAAATCTATGCCAGAAAATATGATGATCATTCTACTGATGACCTTAGGGTGCCAAAATAAACATGTTGACCAAATAACTTCAGCATCATATCCAGTTTCTAGCACAACATCATATCTAGAAAAATTAGTTTCCGGGCAGGCCCGGTGGCGCACTGCTACAGTGTACAGCTTGGGAGTGTGGCGGCGCTCCCGCCGAGGGTTCGGATCCCACATACAGACCGGTTCCCACTCACTGGCTGAGCGAGGGGCGGGCGCAGCACCGACGGTTGCGATCCCGTTGCCGGTCCCGGTCCAGTACGGGCGCGACACTGAGGGTTGCGGTCCGTTGCCGGACACGAAAAAAGACAAAAAGGAAAAAAAAAAGAAAAATTAGTTTCCGATTTTAGAATCCCATAGAGTTCGCATTTCCAATTGATTTTCTTTTTAATTTTTTGTGTCTTTCAGAATCCATCATCCACAGCTTCATTTCTGAGTAGCATCACATTTAGTTGGTTTGACAGGTAGGAAATGCCTGGAGTGTGAATTGTCTATATCCCTATTCCTTCACTCTTCTGAAAGTGACAGAAAGCTTAATTGTTAAAAATGCCTCCTGTGGTCTCCATTTCTCTTCTACTTAGAAAAAGAGAGTGTTAAAACTTACAGGTCAATTTAATTTGGCCCCTTCATTGGGCAGATTGGGATGCTGAGGAGGGGCTGGAGAGGGATTTGCTCTTGGCATCCTGAGAGTTCCACAGGAGAAGAGGAAGGAGGCTGTAGGGCAGAACAGGGAAAACTTGGAGGCAGGCAGTGAGGCAGCCTTGGCTGCCAAAGCATCTGGAGCAGGCATCCTTGGCCTTTATAATTTCATGGACCCCTTTGGCAGGCTGGTGAAACCCATGACTCCCTTCTCAGATAATGTTTTAAATGCATAGAATAAAAGACATGGGATTATAAAGGAAACCAAATATATTGAAATATAGTTATCCAAACATTCAAAAAACAAATTTATGATATGTGTTATTCTTTATTATTCTTTATTAATGCATTAAATAACCAGATTTAGTGGTGGATCTAATAATGATCATAATTTCAAAGTGGTGATGAGCATAAGTGAGCCATGAAAACATCTCTAATTTTTCCTGGTAAGGAAGGCACCAGGTACTCCTTTTACAACTATGTTTGGTTGCCTACACTCATATTAGAAGGAAAGGCTAGATTTCAAGTAGAAGCTATTACAAATGAAGATGTAACTTATTTTCCATCCATATTTTTAAACCCTAGGTTGAGCAGCCCTTAATAGAGGGATAGTAGAGAGGCAGCCATGGGGTCTGCTCCATTTCTTAAGACCGTCATGGAGGCCCCTCAAGGAGATGTCAGAGCAGCAAAGAAGCAGCCAGTGCTTGAGGAGAAAGGAGCAGGAGCAGGGGGAGGTGATGCTCTTTGGGCTCTTAATTCAGTAGTGTCCCTCCCCTTTCCCTTCTCTTGTTGTCTTCTAACACATTCCATTGCCCCACCTGTTCCCCTTTCTACCCTCCCCCACTCCTCTGTCAAGTTCAAAGTGCTAGGAGATTTGGGATATTGGAGCAAGGGAGAAGTCCCATCCTTCCATCCCTCTATCCCAGGAGTGGGAGGCAGGTTTTGATAGAGGTGGTGAGGAGATCACAGCCTGTCGGTCACTCTTGTTCCAGCATGATTCTGAAAGGTTACAAGCACCCTCTGACACTCGAAGATGTCTGGGATATTGGTGAAGAGCTTAAAACTAAGACGGTAGTGAGCAAGTTTGAAACACACATGACAAGAGAGCTGCAGAAAGCCAGGAGGGCATTCCAAAGACGGCAGCAGCAGAATTCCCAGCAGAACTCTGGAGCCAGTCTGCATGGCTTGAACAGGAGTCAAAGCCAAGATGTCCTTGTCCTGGTAACTTTTGCACGAGTGTCTGTGTGAGTGTGTTGTATGCCTCAGGCAAGAGGACATCGGTATCATAGTGATATCGTGCTTACATTTTTACAGCACTTTATGCTTTTCAGTGCGTTTTGTGTTATTAGCAGTATTCACAAGACTAATAATAACTTAGTGATATAATGCTCTGTTCTCTCTTCTTTTGGGCATATTTGAAAGTTTCCATAATAGAATGTTTGGGTTTTTAAAAGAATATCTTAGCATTTCTGGAATTTGTACCTTGGGTGGGAGTTAGAACTAGCAGATAATTTATTAATTTGTTCACTCAAAAATACTGATTGAGCACAACTGTATGTAAGACTCCATTCTGGGCACTGGGTACAAGTAACGTGCCTGAAAGAGCACCCATCTTTAGAGAGCTAGAAAATAAACAATAAGCCAATGAATATGTTACTCTTTGAGAGTAATAAGTGTTAAGAAAATAAAACATGTTCGTGTATTCAGAGTGGAGGGCTACTATTTAGACAGGGTAACAGGGGAGGTTTTCTCAGAGGAGGTGACATCTGAACAAAAACCCACATGATGAGAACCGTGCATCTGAGGGACAGTCATAGCGAAGTGTACTCCAGTTAGAAGGAGCAGGAGAACAAGGCTGAGAGGGGAACATGTGTAGCTTGTTCAGGGAACTGGAAGAAGATTAAGGCGCATTGAGAGAAAGGCTGAGCATGAGGTGAGAGGAGCTCAGGGACGTGGATAGGGACTAAGCTGTGTGGACCTTGTGAGCCATAGTAAGGAATCTGGATTTTATTTCAAGTCTGATGGAAAACCAGTGGCAGGTTATGACGAGGAGTAATATGAGTGGATTTATATTCATAAAAGCTTACCTGGTCTGCTGTCTGGAGAATGCATCATTGTGGAGCATGAGTGGGAGCTGGGTGGAAGGCTGGGCCAGTTGTCCAGGCAAGAGAGAGTGAGCAGACAGGACCTAAGTGGGAGAAATTACAAGAGTATGTCACTGGTAAAAGAAACAAACAACAAAAAACCGAAACAAACAAACAAACGTAAAAACCAAAACCTGGAAACTGAGGCTGAGAAGCTGGAATCTGGGGCATAATGAGACGTGAGACTTTGGGGAATGTAATGTGGAGCCCAAAATTTAGCACTGATGAATGAATCATAGTGCCCCAAGCATTAGTTTCCTGGGATTGCCAATAAAAAGTACCACAAACTGGATAATTTAAAACAACAGAAATTAATTGTCTCATAACTCAGGAGCCTAGAAGAGTGAAATCAAGACACTGGCAGGGCCATGCTCCTTTTGAAACCTGCAGGGGAGGATTCTTCCTTTCCTCCTCTACCTTCTGGTTTTTGCCAGCAATCCTTGGCATTCCTTGGCTTACAGCTGTGTCACTCTAGTCTCTGCCTATGTCATTACATGGCTATATTTTGTCTGTGTCTGTCTCTTGTCTTCTTATAAGGACACCAGTCATATTAGATTAGGGCCCACCCTGATGACCTCATCTTAACTTGACTACATCTGCAAAGGCCGTATTTTCAAATAAAGGCACGTTTGAAGATAATGGGGGTTAGGATTTCAACATGTCGTTTAGGGGGGCACAATTTAACCCATAACATCTCACAACAACCATAAGCAAGAAAAGAACAAAAAAGTCTTCTAAACATCCAAAATATATATTACCATGTCCATGCCCTTCACTCTCAGAATTGTCCCTCTGGTCTCCACTCAGAATCTGTTCTTCATTTTACATGGTATTCTAACTGGTATAGTTGCCTGGTTTTCTTACCCAAAACAGATTTGTAAGTATCCATTAGAAGAGAGAGAGAGGAACAGCAATGACAGCTAGAAGGGTGGACAGCAGTTAGTTACCATGTCCATGCCCTTCACTCTCAGAATTGTCCCTCTGGTCTCCACTCAGAATCTGTTCTTCATTTTACATGGTATTCTACCTGGTATAGTTGCCTGGTTTTCTTACCCAAAACAGATTTGTAAGTATCCATTAGAAGAGAGAGAGAGGAACAGCAATGACAGCTAGAAGGGGGGACAGCAGTTAGACAATAAAGAGAAGATCAAAACCTGTACAGAGAGGACAACAGAGCTCACAGTCTTAACACTCCGGAGCTGCTTAGAGTAGGAACGAAGTCTTACACTATGCAACTCTGTGGACACTGTTGTCGTTTGGTTTTGTACCTAGGAAGAAGCTAAAAAGAACAAAAGGAAGTCTGGGCCCACAAAAGACTTTCCCAAGTCTTGGTTGCTCAAGGCCTTCTTCAAAACTTTCTATATAGTGCTCCTGAAAGCAGTCCTACTGAAGCTAGTTCATGATGTCTTCTCATTCCTGAATCCTCAGCTGCTGAAGTGAGTTCTTGGGTTGTCCTTTCTGGGCCTCACCTGCCACCCTCCTTTTTCCCTCTTGTGTATGCAGGCAGGAGCTTATTATTAAATTCCCATTTTTTCAATGCTCATAATTTTCTTTCCTTTTATGACATTGTGTTCATGAAGCATGCAAGACAGTTTTCAAGATCTAAGATAATAAACACTTTAGCCTCTCCCTTTTACATATCCTTTCTCTCATAGGAGGCCAGGTACTTGTTAGGGCTCTTTCCTTTTAAACAGAAGTGCAATGGGCTGACTGTGTCCAAGAGGTGGGCGTATACCCCAGGAGGGTAACTAACTTCCTCTCTCCACAGTCACAGTCTTCCATGGGAGGTTCAGGTTAATTATGACAAGACTTTGCAATCTGCCACCATCTATGGAATGAACCACCTCAAGAGAAGCTCTTCTAACTCATGCTGGATGCATATCCTAATTCTTTTTCAGGCTTGCATTGTCCTGAAGTGAGTCAACTTGTTCCACACAACCACTTTTACCAAGGGGTAGGAGGAGACAGGACCAGAACATTGCAGTGGCAGCTCTATAGGGCGTTTCCTTCATTATTCATTCTCACAGCCTTGGAAATCAACCCTAAGCTCTTGCTGCTCATCTCCAAGAGAAAGAAAGAACACTGGGAAGACTGTGGAGCTTAGGTCTTCCAAAAGTGTTTCACTATTCTTGTCACTTTTTTTACCTGTTGTGTAAGGGTAGGGAAGCTGGCTCTGCACGAGGAGAGATGAGTTCTTGAAGGCCTGAGAGGCATCACTTACTTGGTTTTGCTCTGGCAGGTGGATGATCTCCTTTGCAAATGACCCTGACGCGTATGTGTGGACTGGATATATCTATGCAATCCTGTTATCTGCTGTGGCTCTCATCCAATCTCTCTTCCTTCAATATTATTTTCATTTGTGCTTCATGCTGGGCATGAGTGTACGAACGACCATCATGGCTTCTGTGTTTAAGAAGGTAAGCAGAGTAAGCCAGGTATCACCAAAGAAAATCTTCTTAGTAAACATGAGCATTTATTCCAAGAATGAGGAAAAGTTGATAGAAGTGATAACTGATCTCAGAGGTTAATTTTGACTAATCATACAGCCTCCTTTAGATATTCATTTGGAAATTAAAATACAAAGAATGTGTTCAGAATTATAAGGTGTGTGGTGGGGTGGGTGGCAGCTGCAGCCCACGAGAAGTTGGCAAGCTGTTCTGCTGCCCAGGATCTGCCTCTCGGCTTTGAAGGCTCAGATATCTGTTCTTTTCTTCCTGCCTCTAGACAAGGTGGGAATGCCTTGGGAAAGAATATAAAGTCAGAAGATAAGCTGAACAAGGGACAGACTTATGAAACCACCAGCATTTAACCCCAATACTTAGTGAAACCTGACTCAGAGTCCTGGTATATCCATCTCAAATTGCAAACAATTTTGCAGGGAGAGAAGAATGCTCCATGAGCCAGGGCTCCATCTCCCAAGACCAACTTTTGCCTAGCAACTCCTTTTTCTAACCTTTACAAGCTAACCCCCTTTCCCTAACTCCTTCTTTCATATGTTAATACATGCACTCTGAGTTCAACAGAATTGGGAGCCTTTCTATTTCCTTAAGATGATTTTGCTCATTTTCACTCTGAATAATAGGTTTTAAGGTTTGACTTTCTCAGGGCAACTGTTTTTCCCTTATGTACTTGATACTAAGGTGAAGTCTCATTTTATCACCTAACAAATAAAAATATAGTAGTTATGATCAATGTCTAGAAGGTTGAGGGGAAAATTCATGCATGAGGAGATAGGGCTCTCTTTAGGTCAGAACATCAGTTACCTTTTCTTCCTTTTTTCCTTCTACCGCTGGAAAGTTCCATCATAGTGACTTTTCTAGTACAGTTCCTGCTTTCCTCCCTTGCTTTCCTCTCTTGGAACACCAATATGTCTTTGTCTTCCCTGAGTAGATATTGACTCATTGAGAAACACTAGCAGGTAATCCAAATGTCTTTAGATCAGAAGTCTGGTCAAGTCCTTTAAACTCCCAGATACCCCCGCACTAGAATTTGTCTTCCCCAAAATGGATCTTTTGATCTCCTTATTCCTTCTGGAGATATTGAATTTCTGCTGGTTTCTAGGTATTGAGGTCACTAACCAGACTATCTCAAGCATTTCTATGAATGTGCACTTTTACAAGTGTTATTCATTCCCATCATTTTGATTCTTAATATATTCCAGGTTTTGCAAATGTAACAATCAATAAAAAGATTTGTAAAATAGAGCCCTTAATGAGATCTTCATTCACATAAATATCACTATTAAAAGAGTGAAAGAAAATTACTAATTTCATATGTTTAGACAATGGCTCACTCTTTATGAAACATTTTTCACATCTATCCTCAATTCACAGCCCTGTGAAGGAAGAGCATTATTCCTATTTTACAGAGAACTAGGGCTAAGATAATTTCACTATCTGCAATCTCATAGCCAGTTCTTGACCCCAGACAAGGGTATTGGGATTAAATTAATGACCTTTCTACGTTATTGAGATTTATTAAGAAAAGAAATGTATAGTGATTACCTTAAAGGATAATTATATGCTGTCTGTCTGTTTGCTTTTTCATACCAAAGGGGAGGCACAGCAGTGGGCTGTTTCCTTTTGAGCCTTGGTGGTCTTACATTTTAGGAAGTTTCCCTCTTTTTATTGCACAACCAAGAATCCTAGTATGTTCTGAAGAATGTATTGGTGGATTAAGATGACAGTAGAGCTTCTGCAATGAGGACGGAAGTGGGTATCTAGGGCCACCCGTAGCCCACATACCGTCTTTGTGAGAATTAGAAGAAGGGTCCCCTTCTATGGGGACCAGATGGTGCTGTGGTGAACATAGTGCAAGCTGGTTTCAGCGCTCTGTTGAATTTGTACAAGGGATTATTTTAAGTGACAGACCTGTGAGCATCAGCCTGCTTATCGCTCTAACATGAGAACAGAAAGCCCACACTACAAGATTCAGGCATCTAGATATTACCTGCAAATCCCTGCCAATAGACAAGTGGTTTTACTTCAAATATGTGAACTCCGCAGCTTTCCTCTTCATTATAAAATCTTCATTATAAGTCCTTCTTGGGAATGGTTATAACTTCCTTATAAGAGTATGGCTCCAGATAACATTATCACATCAGAAGTCTCCAAGGCCAGAATCAATACACGCTCATTTCTACACAGAAGGAGTATCCAACATAAACTTGGGAGTCTGAGTCTTCTCAGAAGAAGTTGCATCTCAGCTGACACCAAAGGATAAATAGGAGTTTTCTGGACAAAGAAGTGTGTGGATGGATGGGATTGGAGAAGGTAGAAATCGGAGGAAAGAGTGATCAAAAATGAGAGGACACTGTGTGTGAAGTTTGGAGGCAAGAAGTCACAGTCCCTTGGAGAAGTTGTTTCCATATGGAGCCCATCCTTCCATTGTGCTCTCACTTCCTGGGTTTCCCCTTCTACTCCCCAGTGTCCTTGGCCTTATCCGTGGATCCCAATCCCAATCTTTCTCTATAGGCGCTGACTCTATCCAACTCAGCCAGGAAGCAGTACACTGTTGGAGAAACAGTGAACCTGATGTCTGTGGATGCCCAGAAACTCATGGATGTGGCCAGCGTCATGCACATGCTGTGGTCAAGTGTTCTGCAGATTGTCTTATCCATCTACTTCCTGTGGAGAGAATTGGGACCCTCAGTGTTATCAGGTGTTGGGGTGATGGTGCTCTTTATCCCAGTTAATGGGATATTGGCCGCTAAGAATAAGGCTATTCAGGTAAAAAAGCAGAGCCAACCGGGGGTATATGCCTTCTTTAAAGTCTCAATTCTCTTGCTTTCTCTCCTCTGATTCTTGGTGGGAGTTTGAGCAAGGCAAAGCTGGTGGGAGACTTTCCACCATCCCAAATATATCTGGCTTTGTCTATCTTCCTTTTTCATTTTCTGACTACTCTTAGAGTTCACATACTCTACCTTCATAGAGAGGGAAGGACTGTCCAGAGACACTACACTTAACTCTTCTATCCTGCTCTGCTGGCACTGTTTCTCCACCATAGCAGTACAAACCAACCACACAGAGCCGTCACATGAGTGATATAAACTTTAAGCCTAAGTCCTGGCAATCATGCTGCTACCACCAGGTGGATAGGCTACATACAGACGGTTCTTAGCTCTGCCAGGAATCACAGGTTGGGTGGGTGGGCTTGATGTTGTATATGATTTATTCATTTATTGTGCATTTATTGAGTTACAAATACTTGTTTTAAAAATACTTATTGCACATCTTACCTTTTCGAGAACATAGCAGTAAATTAGACAAGGCTCTTGCTGTCATGGAGTTTACATTCTACTTGGGGTGGAGAGACAGGCAATAAACAAAGAAGAAAATATCAGACCGTGATATGTATTCTACACAGAATTAAACAGGGTGATGTAATAGCGTGTGAGTGGGTAGTTATCTTCGGTTAGGGGGTCAAAAAAAGCCTCTGTGAGGACAGGACATTTAAGCTGAGCTCTGTACAACGCAGGCCTGACCATGAAGGAGCAAACCTTGGGAAGGGCAGGGTAGGAAAAACCTGGGAAGAGAATACAGCCAGGCAAAGGCTGGGGGGCAGTAACAAGCTGGTCATGTTCAAGGATCAGAAAGAAGGTGGGCGTGGCAGGTGCAGCGTGGGCTAAGATAGGAGTGGAGAGAGATGAATCCCATCACCAGGCACCTCACGTTTTCACTAAGTGACAACCACAAGTGCCCCCAGTGCCTAACACCTGCAGCAAACCTGGACCCTCTCCCATGGAAGTGTGTTTTGTTTTTGTTTTGCTTTTTCCTGGCAGGTAAGAAATATGAAGAATAAGGACAAACGTTTAAAGATCATGAATGAGATTCTCAGTGGAATCAAGGTGAGAAGCCAAGCGTTGGTGTTCATCTGTGTGCAGTGACAGAAACAGTGGGCTTACTGCGCTTAACAAACCCTGGTAGAGGTTGTGGCTTCCTGCTTCTGGGCCTGTTGTGTGTCACATGACTCCTGACTCATCTGCCTACAAGTCTCCTGTTTCATCTCCTACTATCCTGCCCAGGCCCTCTTTTGAAGCTTGATCTCTATTTATTTACCCTAAATGGTTTGTTGTTTTGCCTTTACATTTTACTGTAAAATTTTTTTAATGTCCACAAAAGAGGAGGGAATGACATAATGAACCCATGGACTTGTCACCCAGCTCCAGCAGTTATCAGAATGACCTAACTAGTTTCATTTATTTACCATACTCAGTCCCACTTCACACCTGCTAGAGTATCTTAAAGGAAATCTCAGATATCTTGTCATTTCCTTCACAATCTCTTGTATGTATCTGTAGAAGAAGGACCTCCTTTTTTAAAATTTACTTATTTATTTTTTGCTACTGGCCAGCATGGGAATCTGAACCCTTGACCTTGCTGTTATAACACTGTGCTCTAACCAACTGAAAAACTGACCAGCCCAGGACTTCCTTTTGTTAACATAACCACAATACCATCATCACACCGAAAAAAAAAATTAACAGTTGTTCTTTGATATCATCAAATTTCTCCAAATACCCCATACATGTTTTTTTAAAACCTGTTGTTTAGTTTGAATAAGGATCCCCAAATGTCCATGTATTGAATTTAGTTGATACTGCTTTTAACGTGCAGCAGTTCCTCTTCTCTCTCTCTGTCTCTGTCTCTCTCTCTCTGTCTCTCTCTCTCTCTCTCTCTCTCTCATTGTCATATTGGAGAAACCAGGTTGTCTTGTTTCCTGTATTTCTTCTAAATTAGTAGTTAGATTTAGAGTCTTTGTTAGATTTAGGTTTGATTGGGAGAGAGGGTAAGGTTACTCTCAAGTGGTGCTACGTGCTTCCAAGCAGCAGTGAATGGACTATTTAGTGGATCCAGACATTGTCAGCCTGATTCATCCCTTATAAAGTTTTCTTCCATTCTTTGACCTAGAGCAGTGTTTTGTGACCCTGGCAGCACATTAGGATCACCTGGGAAATTTATAAGACCCATTGAGGCTGGAGTCCTACTCCAAACCGTTTAAATTATACTCTGTGGGGGTTATCCTAAAATGAAGTTTGTTCAGGATAGGCAGGATAAATGCTTGCTTCTTTCTTTCTATTTACTAGCTTTCAAAATAATGCATTTTATCCTCCAATCCTCCAACTGTGACTAATAAGCTTTTTTTTAAAACCAATATGTTCTTTTATAAAAATACATTGTTTTGAATTCATGGATTTTAAAATTACCCTAAACTTCTTGATAATGAAACAGAGGACCCTTTTAACTCGCAGATATTTCTCCACGCAGAGCTCTAATATGTCTCTCCACTAATTTGGCAAAATTAAATTAAAGATCTGGTTTTGAATCTCAGGTCTACCACTTGCTAGCTTGGGATTTGAGGCAAGTTTCTTAGCCTCTCTGGGCCTATTTTCTTATCATTTAAATGGAAACAATAATTATACAAAAGTAGGTTGATTAATTCACTTTGGTTTGCCCAGACCTCTCAGGTTTAAGCACTGAAAAGGCCTGTGTTCAGGGCAACCCCTTTGTCCCAGGCAAACTGGGACATTTGGTCACACTAAGGTTGTTATAAAGATTAAGTGAGACAATGTATGTAAAAAGCTTTGTACGTAGTAAGTATCAACAAATACAGCTACATTTCTGTAATGATACCTTACATTCCATTCATTAAATACATACATTACATTCTGTAATCATGCATCATAATCCGGCCTTCCACCCCTGAAATTTTGGTGTTCATATCCTAAAATGTGGGTGGATCAGATGCACTTGTTTCCCTTTTCAGGCACAGTATGAGCTGTGCTCTTTTCTAACCTACTAGATCCTGAAATATTTTGCCTGGGAACCTTCATTCAAAGACCAAGTTCACAACCTTCGGAAGAAAGAGCTCAAGAACCTACTGACCTTTAGTGTGATGCAGGCTATAATGACATTCCTCTTATACTTAACTCCGGTCCTGGTGAGTAGTGGAGGGGTCAGTGGGCTGGGTATGTTTTGATCCTGGGTCAGCTTCCCAAAGAGAAAGGTCTATTCTTCATAAGGGTTAGCATTTCAGGCTAACCCTGAAATGCAGGGAACTTAGTCCCCCTCTTCAACTCCCCATGCTGTTCCTACTTTGTGCCCCCCAACTCAACCCTTGTATATTGTTTCGTGGTCCAGCAGCCCAGAGCAAGTTTTCAGGATTTTTGGCATGAATGTGATATCCAGGAATGATTTGCATAAGAGGGCTTCTTGTCTTCTTGGGGGAGGTGGTGTGGATCTATAATGGAAGGAAGAGTGATAGAGGAGACAGAAGACTCAGGCTCTAGTCCTGGAAATCAATTAACTGACTTTGTGACCTGGGGCAAGATATTTCCTCCTCTCCTGGGCTAAGTTTTCTCATCTATAATCTAAGGCTGCTTCAGCTCTCATATGCTGTGGTCCTGAAGCTCAGCACAAGCCTCCTTGGGTCCTCCTAGGAATAAATTTCTCATGACCTTGCTCTCTCTAGGTGTGTGTAGTCACGTTTTCTGTTTACGTCCTGGTGGACAGCAATAATATTTTGGATGCAGAAAAGGCCTTCACTTCCATCTCCCTCTTCAATATCCTGCGCTTTCCCATGGGCATGCTTCCCATGGTGATCTCCTCCATGCTCCAGGTAGGTAGCAACTCTCACTGCTAACTGCTTAAAAGCCTCAGCGTCCAGAATGACTGGCCTATCATATCTCATGTCTTGCTTCTTTTTTTTTTTTTCCTTTTTGTCTTTTTTACTGACCGGTTAACGGGATTGCAACCCTCGGTGTTGCGCCCGCACCGCGCTCAGCCAGTGAGCAGGAACCGGTCTCCACGTAGGATCCGAACCCTCGGCGGGAGTGCCGCCACGCTCCCAAGCAGCGCACTCTCCAGTGCGCCACCAGGCCGGCCCTCATGTCTTGCTTCTATTAGTGAACTTTCATATACAGAGATCTGTTTGGTTTTTGGAGATGAGTGGCTTGATCTTAATAAAATCATGATTTCTTTGAGTCCCTGTTTATCTGAATATATAAGGAGAATAATCATATGAATCTCATCTAACTCAGAGCAAGAAAATCTTCTGAAAGCATTTGGTGAGATTATTATGATTATCCTTGGTGCTGGAAACATTTCTAAACCCTTTTCTCTGTAAAATTTCTGCTGTATTTTTTGAAGGCTCTTGAGTTACTGGTTTAGCATTAGACAAATATTGCACAAAGGCAGAAAAAAGACCCTTTCTTTGCATGAACCTATGTGGTGGTAAACCAGAATGCAACTTGGGAGCTTCAAGCTGTCGTAAAATGAGTTTGGAGTTCAGGAGGCCTTGGATGAACCAGGGGGAATGTCTGGATTCTCAAAACTGAGTCACTAAGGTGGGCCAAGTATCAGACCTCAGTATGAAGTGAACAGGGCAGGTGGGAGAATTATGACTGAGCCAGAATGACAGGGGTAGGGTGTGATGACCTGCATTCATCCCAGCAGGGGCTGGCATCAGACAGCTGAGGTCAAAGGAAGGACTAGTGTTTAGGAGAAGATCTCTCTGTCCTGGAGGATGTGAAGAAAAGCTGACAGGTTTGGCCAGTAAAGAGACAACATGCTCTTTTTAGATACAGTTTATTACATGGCAAACACAAGATCAGTAAAGGTATCAGCTCTCTGCATTCCTTGTCCCTCAGAATGACAGTGAACCAAAAGAGGTCAAATGATAATGCAACCTGGGCAGTGTTACAGCCTGCATTTGCACCCTAAAGAGGGATGGGCAGGAAGCCTGATACTTCATCAGAGCCTGAGTGGCGACGAGAAACTGTCTCATGACAGCCTCCCTGGAAGATAGGGAGGCAGGTGAGAAACAACCTTGTAGAAGCTCCTCCAAATCCTCCCAAGTTCTCATGTTCCAGGGGGACCACATTATTCCAACAGTTACGTCAGCTGCAATTTAAGCTTTCCCTGTCTGGTCTATGTGAAATTTGTGAGGTCATCATGATGCCATGACTAATTCCCCTACAGACGGTCCAGTAGTAGCTCAGTTAGGATAGTGGGTTGATCATCAAGTCATAGAGTCAGCTTAATAAGAACAAGGTAAGGGCCCAGTTTCTAGAACCAGATAGAAGTGAGGGTTTCGTCTTGGAGGAAGACAGGAGGCAGTTTCTGGAAATAGGGCCAAAGATTAGAGAGAGATAGCAGTACATTTGAACTCCGTAAGTTTTCTTTAAGATTGAAATAGAGTATCTTAAATTCCCTCTGACCAGGGTGGGATGGCTCTCAGGGCTGAGGTGTGGCTGAGTCTATGGTGGGTGACAGGAGATTCCAGCTGCGACAAAGTCAAAATCGTTTCCCTGCTTGTACTTGTTATTAAATGTTTTATTCTTGAGATCCTTTATGTTCTTCTCTAGGCCAGTGTTTCCATAGACCGTCTAGAGAAGTACTTGGGAGGGGATGACCTGGACACATCTGCCATTCGACATGACTGCAATTTTGGTAAATGAATTTGAAAGTTGCTTCCCACACTTATGCTTAGTGCTGGCACCAGATTTTGATACAAAAGGACTTAGCAGCAGCAAACTGATAGAAAGGGAGACCTAGAGGATTTGCCTCGAACCTGCACTTGCATAATAAGCTTACTGTTGTTACTTAAACTATGTTTTCATCCTTCTCACTGCTCTACTTGTAAAGCCATCAGAAGCACGCCCATGTTAACTCATTACTTCATGAATGTGTTAATCCATTCATGAGGGCACACTCCACATAATCCAATCAGCTCTCATAGGCTCCATCTTTCCAATATCATAATTAGATTTCCTGTCCTCTTAAAACTTTACAAAGTAGTTAGAGTTTCCAATATGTGGGACGTTTTTGACCTATAGTACAGGGAATTCTGCAAAAGATCCAGAAAACAGAAGTCAAGATGGAGCCAAGCTGCTGGGATTGGGAAGGTAACCTTGAGTGAAAGAACTTACCAGTTCTGAAGGTTTAAGGAACGGGGTGCAACCCCAGCCAGAGTGAGCAGTGAATCTGGAATCCAGGTTAGGGAGGATTTATATAAGGTAGAATTTATACAAAGGGACTGGGCAACAGAGGGCCTGGGATTGTACCCAGAATATCTATAGGTCAGGAATCTGGGCTACAAACAAGCTTCCAACTCCTGAATCAAAAAGGACTTTGTATGCAGACCACTTCTGTTTCATCCCAGGAACTTTCACTTCCTCCTGTTAGTGTAGGAGCCAGCACCCAACAGAGGCGATCTCAGGAGCTGACTGAGGAAGCAGAGAGAGACACATGAGAGCTGAGAAAGGGCAGAAAGACATGAGAGAACATACATCTGACTAAGGGAGTGTGTTTTCCTCAACAGACAAAGCTGTGCAGTTTTCTGAGGCCTCCTTTACCTGGGAACAAGACTTGGAAGCCACAGTCCGAGAGTGAGTTATCTTCTTTCTATCCTGCTGTTCTTTAGGATTCTCTTTGCTTGTCGTGTTCTTGGAAAATTACCTGTAATAGAACACATGGGGAAATGAGGTATGTGCATATGTTCAGTTAGATACTAGTGCAGGCTAAACCCCTGGAAGGATGGGCTGAGAGCAAAGATCCTGAGCCTCTTTCCTCACAACTGCATTTGCCACCTGCTTTCCTACTGTGGGACTCGGAATGTCCAGCTGAGAACCTGTGAAGACATTTGTGCTCCAGATTATGGAAGGAGGTAACATGGAGTGGGCAGGTGGCCCAGGTCTCTGGGTATGGTAGGGGTTACACACAAGAACCTGAACTCAGTCTTAGTTTATTCATTCATTTAAGAATGTAATCAGGGGGCCGGCCCGGTGGCGCACTGCTTCAGTGTGCCACTTGGGAGCACGGCAGCACTCCCGCCGAGGGTTCGGATCCCACATACAGACCGGCCGCTCACTGGCTGAGCGAGGTGCAGGAGCAACACCGAGGGTTGCGATTCCGTTGCCGGTCCCGGTCCGGTACGGGATTGCCGATCATGAAAAAAGACAAAAAGGAAAAAAAAAAAAAGAATGTAATCAGGACCATTGGTATATGACTCTCCCCAGATTGGACAATGGAAGCTTCATCTATAAGATTCAAGTTGAGATCTGGAGTTTTACATAAAAATAACCCATTCCCACACCCCACCCTGTAGGCCACCTCCCCTGCCATGCAGGNTTCCTACTGTGGGACTCGGAATGTCCAGCTGAGAACCTGTGAAGACATTTGTGCTCCAGATATGGAAGGAGGTAACATGGAGTGGGCAGGTGGCCAAGTGATGAGTCAGGTGGGAGTCCCTGCTCTGAACACTTCCAACCATAATGCTTCCCTTTGCAGAGAAGAAACCGGATGGAACTTCTACTCTTCCACTTTACTGCTGTAAGCATGGAAGAAGTTCAGCTCAGTGGGCAGATTCAGAAAGACTGAACAAGTTCCTGAAGTTCCTGATGTTCTAGGGCTGGCACACAGGGTTCCCAGGAATCTAGCTCAATGTGGGCCCCTCCTCAGCCAGGCACAGTCCAACCTTCAGGGGAGGGGCCAGGGCATCTGGTTCACCAAGTGCTGCAGGTGACTCACTGAATAGCAAATTTGGGAAACCCTGATCTAGTCCAACCCCATTGGTTTAGAAACATGGGTCTTCAGTCCAGAAGAAGCGACCTTCCAAGATCACACAGCCTGGCAGTGGCAGAGTTGGGATTTGAACCACGCCAGGTCTCCAGGCTCCCACTAGAGTCTTGTTCCATGGTACCACGTGGGTTCTAGGAGAATTTTTCCATTGGAAACCCACATTTGGCACAAACAATTTAAAGATGAGTTGGAGAAGTGAGAACTTATTCTGTAGTCTTTTAGAGATTGAAATAAAAATCACTAAAATTTCCTATTTTGAGAGAAAATCTACTAATTCCAGAATTCATGGAAATTCAGAGAAATCGTTTGAACTACTCTTGAATATCACCCCCCAACCCCCATTTCCTTAAAAGACACTTTTCTTTTTCAGTGTGAACCTAGACATTATGCCAGGCCAATTGGTGGCTGTGGTGGGCCCTGTGGGCTCTGGGAAATCCTCCTTGATGTCAGCCATGCTGGGAGAAATGGAAAATGTCCACGGGCACATCACCATCAAGGTGAGAGGGAATGCCACTGGAGAAGACTTCTGACCCTCAAATATGGGCCACTTAGTGCTGTTTCCTCGTTTGGGAGAATGCACTGAGGGCTCGTAGGTGGGGCCTTGAAGACATCTGGTAGATTTGTGAACTGCAGATTCTCTGACCCATCCCAGGCTTATAAATTAGACTCTGGGGAAAGAGTCTAAGAATCTATATATTCAATGAGCTATTCAGGCAAATCTCATATGCATACTAAAGTGTGGAAACTGTTGACTAGAGAAGTCTTCATTCAAAGTATAGGCTTTTCTGCTATGTCTATGCATGTGTTTCTGAAAAACTCACATTCTGCAAAATTTTACCTAAGGGAAAATAGTTGTAACAGATCGCTAAAAATTTATATAACTTTGTAAGCAAAGGACCAACAAAAATAAGACCAACAGTAACAACAACAAAAACAATAAGACCAGCATCACTGTAAAATCAACAGCACATCTGCACCCAACACCATGATTAGTCTTTGATCTCTCACCTCCTCCTTTGAGAGTTACTTTATAGCATTGGCTTCCAATACAAAAACCTGATGTAAAGTGTCGACTTCTTTTGTCAATTACGATTTTTTTTTAACATGGAGGAAACTGTTGTCATGGCATCTTTATCAGCACTGTAAACTTCCCCAGAGAGCTAAATTTATGTGAAATTAGAGATATTTTGAATCTTAAACTAGCCACTATTTCCACCAAACAGGCAGGTGTGTAGATTTTCAGCTTTTTTCTTAAGATCTTCATATATTGCTAAGGATTTCTTTTTAATTATGAGAAAACTAGCACCTGATTGCTTTATATTGACCTGCTTGTAAAAATTTTAAGAACCATCTCTTCTTTCACAATATACTGACATCACTCCCTGATTAACCAGTAACTAATTAGCTAATTTGAATTTTTTAAAGCACGTATTATAGCAGAGCAGACTACAGATTTAACTGTCTCTTAACTCCTTTGGGGAAGCTCTTTCTTGCTAGGTCATAACTGAATTCTTCCTTAAAGATGGGCATTTGCCAGTCTCTGCCACTCTTTGGACATGACCTGCTTCATGTTCCATGCTGGCATCCTAATTCCAACCTCTTAGTTCTTGCTTCTGAGGGCGCCATCTGTACCATTCCCCTGTCAGTATTAGTGCTGTCTTGATTCTGGTAAACTCATTGGGTTTGCCTAAAACCCTGTTCTAGAATCAACATGTGTATTCATCTTCTGATTTTGAGGATCATGCCTAGAAAATGAAAGTACAAAGAAGGGGACTTTAAATGGTGAATAAGACATTGACTCTTTCTCTCTGGTCAGTGCAGTAAATAACAATGCATTGTAAATATCAGATGCTCAGTCAACCTGATACACAACTGACACA